TCAACGGCCAAGTTCCGCATCAAGCAGAATCTTGTGCGCAAAATGCATCTGCAACATTTACTTGCTGATTGAATGAACACATTTTATACCCAGGACACCATGGCTAGTTAATAACACTGGTCATGATAGTGGTTAAGAGCATGGTTTTTGGTTCAGGTGCGTCTGATCTGGTTTTAGCCTACCTCTGCTACTTAGTGTCATGGTGACTTTGGACACATAGTGTCCTTATTTGCAAGATGTAAGTTATTTGGGTTGTGAGAATCAAATATAAAATATGAAGCTCTGAGCACAGAGATGCCATTTTTTAATCCCATGTTCCACTGTCAATGTTTATCCATTTTAGTAATCTAATGTTAAATTCAAAGAAGCCCAAAGTCCAAGGGGATACTGAGTGTATTCCATTTTAGAACCTTAATTGGACTATTTAGTAAGTCCCAGAAGGGGTCACTACCCACCTAGGACCCTTTGTTTGGAGCATAAAATAAGGACCTCTACATAAAACAGATCCTTCTTCCAGCCCTTCATTCCATCCCCATTGTGCGCTGTTTTGAAAATTCCAATTCAAAATTATCCAACTCAACAAGTTTTAACAAGTGCTAGTTGTGTTCTATAGTAACGGCTTAACCAACTGGCCTGGAAAACCTTCCTATTTTCCCTCTGGAAAGCTACTTTTTAATCCCTAATGAGGTCCGTCTGTTGTCAAGCTTTCCCCAGCCTCCTGACACAGGAGCTGCGCCCACCCCTGGGCTCCAGGCACTCGGGAATCCTCCCAGAGACACTTCCCTGCCCCATTGCACAGCCAAGGTTAGGTATGGCCACATCTCTCCCATCAGACTGCCAAGCCCTCTGGGTGTGTTCCCTGCACACAGTAGATACCGAATGGAGGTAGGTGGGTGAGACTGGAGGGGCCAGGATGAAAGGCCTGAGGGCAGAAAACCAAAGTTACCTTTGCATTTCTACCAAGTTCAAAGAGTAGGCTGAGAAGGATAAGGCACCACCTCACAGGAGGAGTAGGAGGAGGAATCCAGGGAATGTGAGTCAAAAGTCAAGGGAAACTGAGAACTTTGATCCCATCACTTGGCAACATAACAATTGTGTGGTCTTTATTTTTCTTCCTCCATTGCTTCTGGACAATATACAACACATAGTGAACACTCAGTTCACGTTGTTGAATAAACAAATGAATGTTTCTTCTCTCCATTTCATTGTCGCCTTTTCCTTCTTTCGTTTTGTTGTCTCTTTGTTCTACCTAACCCCACACTTAAACCTTTCCCCTCACCACCTGATACACAAAATCACCTCCCCCCTCCCTCCGTCTTTTTTCTCCTCCCCCTTTCCTTCTTCCTCTCTCTCCTCCACTAATGCCATCTAGAAGTGTGTGTGTGTGTGTGTGTGTGTGTGTGTGTGTGTGTGTGTCTATCTACGGTCATTTCCAGTCTACAGAGGAGAAAACAGAAGTTCAAAAGCCCAAAGATGGATACCAACGGTCACACAGCTGCTAAGAAGTATGTAACAGGTAATGTCACACTACTCTAGATCCCTTGGCCATTTTTGTTAGCTCTAATCCATGGATCACTTCACTGTCAGCAGGCAACATGTTGCCCCCAGATACCAGAGCTCACTTTGCCTGTGGGTGGCCCCGGAAAGCCACCAGTGGTGGGAATTTAAGCCTCCCCTCCTCCCCACCTCGGAGGCGGGGGGGGGGGGGGGGAGGTGACAGAACATAAAAAAAAACTGACAGGTGTGAGGGCATTGGGACTACAGTTCCCTGGCCCCCAGTGGGGACAGCCTGGCTTCTTCCGCTTCCCCATCCGTTTTCCATACCCCAGGACCAATGTTCCTTGGAAACGCTCCCAATAAATCCCTTTCACATAGATCCTCATCTCAAGCCCCGTTTCTGGAGAACACAGCCTAAGGCAAGCTAAATGCTGGATACGAATCCAAACCCATCGGACTTCAACATTGTCCCCACTATATTGTGCCTGAGATGCTGTTACAGTCATTAGGGGCCCGCTCCTCACGAATTTCACCGCCATTTAAAAAATTGAATGGCCACTGCGGCTTCAGATGCCTTGAAGACAAACACGACATTTCAAAAGCTCTGTGCTTGCTTATTTCTTCTTACTATAATTATATGTCTCTGAAACAAAAGATGTTTGAATGTCTTAGCAAAATGAAATGAGGGACTCAAAGAAAAAAGTTACTTATTTGAACTTCCCCTTGTAATCTTCCTATCTCTGGGTCCATAATATCCTAAAATAGACTTCATCCTTTTAACGTGCTCTCTTCTTAAAATGTTTTTGTTATATGAGGAATATAACTGCATTGGAGGAATTCTAGGGGGAAAACAAATCCAAGTGCTCAAATCCAGCCATTCACAATTTCCTTCCAGTGTTTTCCTACCCCTGTGCCGTGGGTACAGATTTATTCAAACACCTGGATCCCCTGGGTCTCGCGTTAACCTGGTTTTCCATTCTGTGACACAGTCCTGTGGTTTTCATCTTTTTTTTAAATTTTTTTTTTAAAGTTTATTCATTTTTGAGAGAGACAGACAGACAGAGTATGAGCAGGGGAGGGGTAGAGAGAGAGGGAGACACAGAATCTGAAGTAGGCTCCAGGCTCCGAGCTGTCAGCACAGAGCGTGACGCGGGGCTCAAACTCACAAACTGTGAGATCGTGACCTGAGCTGAAGTCGGACGCTCAATGACTGTGCCATCCGGGCGCCCCATCATCTTTAATGCTCGTCCATTGTAACACCCGGAGGATGGACCGTAACCTGTCACCATTCTTATTACTGTCCTTGATATTTCATGATTGTAAACTTTGTGAATATGCCGTTTTGTTTGGCGCCTACCCTTTTATATTATTCCGATTAAATATTTCCGATTATTTCTTCAAGAGAAGTTTCTAAATCTTGAATTATCAGATAAAGAAATAAAATGTGTGGCTTTTGATACACACTGCCACATTCCTTCCTCCCCCTCCCCACCACACTAAAATGTGCATCGATATGTAACATAAGCCAACCCGAAACAAAGATTCTTTCAAGTCATGGTGACTTATTTGTTACTGAGCTGTGGTCTTACTAGACGAATTCATTTTACATTTCTCCACTTAGTACAAAGGTCTTGAAACCTCTCGAATTATACTGAATCTATGGCATTCCTCATGAGAAGGACAAAGAATTCTTAAGGGGACATTTCAGTCACCCTTAAATGGACATAGCTCCATTCTTAATTCTAAGCTTTCTAATTGCTAAGCATTTCACGGAGAGATTAGTCACTGGGCTTGAGTTCCTAATTGAATCAGTCATTTTACATGCAATGAAACACAAGTCAGGACATTTCAATGGCTGATGTAGGCTAACTGACTTGGATGTGTATCTTGTACATTTCTGTATGCCTACATCTTCGAAAGCAGAGGAACATTGATAAGATAAATAAGCAAGAGAAAATTCCTGTTTTCTCAGTCACCTTGAAGTTTGCCAGAGTCCCTAAGGTTTAGTATTTTTATTTATCGGCCTGAGGAGTCCTGCTTCCTGAAATGGATTTTCCAGGAATATTTAGACTTCCAAGAGATCATGTCCCATTAGCATCAAACACAGCATCACTGTTGTTATTATTATTATTTTTTAACATGCTTAATGGTTCTTTCTTCTTTCACACAACTGGGAAAGTACACTAAATACAAACCTGGAATTATTCTGAAGACCATGGGTACTTGTCACTACACACAGAACAGAGACTTTTAGACTAAGATAACAGCTGTTCACCCAGCCAACCCTGAAAATTCAAGTGAAAGAGTGGGAAACCTATCCAGTCTTCTAGAGGCATGATTCCAGGGGATAGTAGACATTCATGTGGATAAACGTCCCATTGACCAACTGTATTTTCTACCTTCAATCTGTTTGGGGGTTTTGTTTGTTTTGTTTGTTTGTTTCCACTGAAGAAGCTTGTTTTCCATAGCACTCCAAAATTGCAACACGTGCCAATTTACATCTTATTTTAAGAGAGAATTTCACTACTGGGTTCATGTAAAAGGCAAAATGGACCATTTTGAGTCCATTTCTCAGTAAATTGAGAAGGTCGCGGATTGGCTTTCATGCACACCCCAAATTTGCCTTCATCCCAGCGGGTCACAGCCTCAAGGTGATAAACTCCCCGTAAGGGATTCCACAGCGGACGCCTCACCTTGGCAGGACTTTCTGGGTCAGGATATCGGTGGGTAATCCTAATTAAAGCCCCATCCGAGCTCTAACTTCACAACCAAACAAACCAGTTTTACAGCACAGAGGAATCTAATTTGGCCTCACACTTGCAGTGGAAAAAGAAACACAAAAGAAAAAAAAAAAAAAAAGCTGGCAGCTGAACTAACAAGCTACTGCCTTCTGGACACACTGCCAACTTGATCCAATTAAGAAACATTAGCCATCTAATGACAGATTTGAAGACAAAAGGCTCAGATGAGACACGAGTTTCTTGACAGCAGCCAGGCAAACCGCAAAATTTCAACCTAGGTAAGAGTCCCTTCGACATTTAAAAAACATACAACAAAGAGCAAGGAGAGGCTGACATTGCAAGTTTCTTGCACATTCTAAGGAATAAGAGCCCGAGCCTAGAACACAGCCAAATATTAATCTGAGAGTAACGTTCCGTTTCAGCCTAAAGAAACCTATGGAACTTTCCTGTGTACAACGAAACACACAAAACACCGCTGGTCTGCGGATGCCTATTTAGCCTGGGAAATGAGCGAAATCACAGCTTAGGCGCATGTCACTTTCCCACATGTCACTTTCCCGGTCCGTCTTAACCACCGGCCCCTTCAAGAGCATCTCGTGAAAAAAGCAAACCAAAACACTGTAGTGAAAGACACTTGGGGATGCCCTTTCATTTACTCCATGCCAAGTATTTTATCTGGAAACCTACTTTGAAAAAGTGACGCTGAGGCGAGGCAAATGCCAGATCCTGCCCTGAGTGAGAGTTGCAGTGCCGTCCACTTACCTGTGATCAGCACCGCCTTTTGATCCACAGGTAAAAACTCGTGGCCAGATAAGCAAGCACACATGAGGAAACAGGACAGGGGGAAGAGGACCCAGCCCCAGAAGAGGGACAGGCTGAGCAGGTAAGCCCCTGCCCAGAGGCCCGCCAGGCAGACCACCTTCCTCCCCACCTGCCCCGGGCTCTTCTTGAGTTTGTAAAGAACTATTCCTCCCAGCGCTGCGGGGACAGCCAGGCAGAGCCATGCTGTCTCAGAGAAGGTGTTCATTCTCAGAAACGCCCTGCACCTTTGTCTGCTCAGGACCAGCGAGACGAGTGGGCAAAGGCTGGCTGGAGGCAGCCTGGGATATATGGACAGAGAGGCAAGGAGGGAGGGGGAGAAAGGAACCCCGGCACGCTTCGGATGAGCACGGATTAAGCACACTCACGCAGGCATGTATTTCCTGGTGGGTCATTGAAACCGGGGAGCCGATCCCTATAAATACCAGACCTCTTCCCATTCAGCAGCTCCCCCAACGCCACCTGACACATGGAAACAACACATGACACGTAGACGTACTCACCCACAACACACACACGTATTTTTCTTTTCTGTGACCTCTGGAGAGATAACCAGGTGGATAATAATTGACAGAATTCAATCCAAACAGTGACTAACAAGACCTTTAGTTCACAGAAAAACTCTTCGCCGGCAGGAGCCAGTGGTGCAACTGTCAAATTCTTTTTCTGACTCGGGCGTGTGTGTGTGTGTGTGTGTGTGTGTGTGTGTGAACGCAGGCAACCAGAGAGGTCTGGAAGATCTGGAAGGGGAAGGCTGTCCTGAGTTGGCATTCCTGCCATCCATCTCCCATCTCCGACAGGCTGAAGTGTTGAATGGAGAGGAATATAAAATCCAGAGGAAGAGATTCTTGGCCGATGTGCTGGTCTTGCCAGAGGGGAGGCATGCCAGGCAGAGATAAGAGCAAGGCTAATACAACCACCACGGTCACTATCTATTAGTATTTATTTGTGCCAGGGGCCACGTTCCTTCGCCTACTTATCCATTCATTCTTCACTGAGATCCTTTCCTCTGCCGAGCTCTGCTCTAGGCATTGGGACTAGGCAGTCGGTACCCTCAGTCTCTTGGAATGTAATCTCCTTGCGAGGTAGGTTCTGGTTTTGTAGTGGTTTTACAAGAGAGGACACTGAGGCATAGAAGGTCAAGAGACTTGCTCAAGATCACAAAGTGGGGGCATCAGGCAGCCTTGTTCCAGCGGCTCTGAGCCCCTCTACTGCCTGCTTTAGGCACAATATAAAAGGCAATCAGTATATTATGTACTGGTCCCTCCCTGTTTTAGCCTTGTTTGAACCTCATAAAAACACTTCAGGGTGGGTATTACCATCCTCATTTGCAAAGAGATACTTTCCTTTTATAAGGGCAATGGTACCTGACCGCACCATGACTCACTGGCTCAAGAGCCAGCTCTCTGGAACCCTGACACCCTACCAACCACCAGTAACGATGCCAACAGCCCCAGAGGGTGCCACCACTGGGTTGGGCTTGGGGCGTGTCTTCTGTGTGCTCGACACCTGGCTGGGAGGCCAGAATGCTGATAAAGACTGGGTGTTGGCATATCCGGAGGGATAAGAAAATATCTCACTTGGGGGGTCAGATTACCTGTTTTCAAATCTCACCTGAGCCCTGGCACTTAATACGTAGAGTCGGGTGGGTGACTCCACCCCGATAGACCCCTTCTCAGCTGTAAAATAGTAAAAATACCGAGGTAAAGGCACTTAGCTCATCCTGCCTGGCACACCAGAAGGAACCCCAGAAATGCTGGCGATTCGTGCTTTTTATCAAGAAAGGAAGAACTTCAGGAGTAGGATAAAGTGCCCAGGGGAATATACACTCGTCCCCAACTATGGCTGAATATAGCATGTGCTGAGGGGCCAGGAGGAGGACAAGGACTCCAGTCACGGGTGACGTGGGGGAGGCAGGAGGAGTCTATCTTGTATGGAGGTAGAGAGAATTTGGGACAGGGAGTTGGGGAAATTGTCTCTGATCTCAGATGAGCCTTGCTCATCTGCCCTCAGCCCGCCCAGTTGCGAAGGCAGCGCTCCTGGGCTCAGAGCTATCTCCAGGCACAAGGGGACCAGGTGGGAAGCAATGACTTGTGGACCTTATCGTATAGTGGAACTGGGTGGGGTGGTGACAAAGCCCTTACAGGGGTCTTATGTGGGGCAACGGCACCTCCTGTCTGCCCTCCCAGCCACACAGACACCTGAGGTGGGGAGACGTTGCTGGCTCCAGGCCAGGAAGCAGTGGGGTGAGGATCTGAATTCCTTGGCTGGACCTGAGATCTCCTTCTTTCCACACACCCAGCTCCCTTCCATCAGCCATGTGCACATCCCAGGTGCGGGCACCTCCCCGGGCCTCGTGGCCTCACCAGCCCAGGAGGATTCAGTCAGGATAGCTGTGATGTCAGATAGCTTTCTAGGTGAGGGTGAAGGATTGGTTTTGGCTCTTGGCTGGGGCCCTTGGCTCTTTCTCAATGGCCCCCACACTGGGGCTGGGACTGAGCACCCTGGTGGGTTTCCAGGTATGTGCCCGCCCACCAGAGATGAAACAAATCTTCTCTGGGTAGCAGCCCCCAAGGCTTCTCAGCTGCTCAGTCCTGGGGCTCCGTAGGGGCAGGCCAAAGCTGCCATGACGTGGAACTCTAGGTAAGGATGTTCCTTGCCCTCCGACAGGGCAGGGGGTACACATATTAGGAGGGTGAGTTGTAAAGCCTCATGGAACTGAGTTCACATCCTGACTCAGTTACTTCCTAGCCTTTCCATGAGGCTCTGTTTCCTCTTCTAAAGAAAGGGAACCCAGCCCCAGGGTTGTTTTTAAAAGTGAACAACATGAATCTTGCATTGCACGTGGCACTAATAGCCACTCTTCTCTTTGTTGGGCGCACTCGCAGCCTCTTAGCCCTTTACACCTGGGCAGGAGGAGAGGTTCCTGCCAGCCTTCTCCTCACTCATTTATTTCTCCATCCAGTTCGCCACACAACACGTCCCCTTGCCATCCATCTGACACGTGCTTAAATGTCACTTCTCACCTCCCAGCCTGAGTATCTTCCATCACCACCATATTCACCCCTTACCTGCAGTTAGCTCCATTCATAATTCTGAACCCAGATTGTTTATTTTTAAAATTGTTCTGTCTCAGGGGCGCCTGGGTGTCTCACTCGGCTAAGCGTCCGACTTCAGCTCAGGTCATGATCTCACGGTCCATGAGTTCGAGCCCCGCGTCAGGCTCTGTGCTGACAGCTCAGAGCCTGGAGCCTGTTTCAGATTCTGTGTCTCCCGCTCTTTGCCCCTCCCTCGCTCACACTTCTCTCTCTCTCTCTCTCTCTCTCTCTCTCTCTCTCTCTCTCTCCCTTTCTGTCTCTCAAAAATAAATAAACGTTAAAAAAAATTTTTTTTAATTGTTCTGTCTCCCCCGATAGACCATGAATGAACTTCATGAGGGCATGAACCTCCTCTGGTTTTTGGGTTTTATTCTCTGTGCACTAAATGCCTAGCCTAGTGCCTGTCCCTTTGCATGTACTTTATTTACATTCATTGAAAGAATAAGGAAAGAGCAAAGCTCTACAGAGTGCCTTCTGGGTGGCACATTCTGTACCGGCCATGGAGGAGTTCAGCAGTGAGTAATATGGATCCAGTTCCTGACCTTGGCATATAGCTGCTGCAGAAGCCGTGACTAGTGGGGCTGGATGGTGGGGGGAAAGGAAGGATTTTAGCCAACTGGTAACACAGAGGACCACAGGGTCCTAGTCCAACAGAGGGCTGTTCTGCCTCTGAATGAGGACTTCCTCCATCTGGCTGAGCTGATTTGTATCTCCTTTTTGTCCCCCTCATTTTGTTTTAGAGCTGTCCTTGAGGCCATCCTTGCTTGGAAGTGTCCCACCCTCTCTATTTTTTTTTTTTTTTTTTTTTTTTTTGCAAGTTTATCCTTAGCTTTCCTAGGGGAAGGAGGCATTTGGATCAAGTTATGTTCTTGCTGGGGCCCCTGGGTGGCTCAGTCGGTTAAGCGTCCAACTTCAGCTCAGGTCATGATCTCACAGTGCGTGGGTTCAAGCCCCACATGGGGGTCTATGCTGACAGCTCAGAGCCTGGAGCCTGCTTCCTATTCTGTGTCTCCTTCTCTCTCTGCCCCTCCCCTGCTCATGCTGTCTCTGTCTCTCAAAAATAAATAAATATTAAAAAAAATTTTTTTAAGTTATATTCTTGCTAATGATGCCAACAGGTCAATGTGCTGCTTCCTTCTACTGACAGAGGTGCCTTTTGGAAGGCACCTTCTGAAGACAAGATATCTTACCCAAAAGAGAGGATTTCCCACCCTGGGCCAAAGCAAACAAACAAACAGAAACATTGCTGAGAATCCTAAAATGAACACTTTCTTAGAATCCATGGTTCTTGAGTATAGAAGGGAATGTGAAGAAGTAACTTCCCATTGGACTCTGTAACATCTCCACTAAGTGGTCATCTTGTCCACTGTCAGCACACCTCTGATGACGGGCACAGCAAAGCCTTTGAAGTCTGACTATCCAGTTCTCCTCAGGGCACCCATGTGGTTCAGTCGGTTAAGTGTCTGACTCTGGATTTCGGCTCAGGTCATGGTCTCTCAGTTCGTGGGTTCGAGCCCTGCATGGGGCTCTGTGCTGACAAGTGTGGAGGCTGCTTGGGATTCTCTCTCTCCCTCTCTCTGACCCACCCCCACTCATGTTGTCCCTTTCTCAAAATAAACAAATACACTTAAATAGAAAAAAAAAAAGAAAGTTCTCCTCTAGACCGAGCTTGACTGTGGTACTTGTCCTTTCTTTGTCATTCGGAGTCACATAGACCACATCTAGTTCCTGCTTCTTTCAACTATTTGAAGATTGCTTTCTTCCTTCTCCAAGTTGATAGCCTTCATTTCTCTTAACTGCACCTTATACACAGCAGAATATGGTGCAACGTGCCTGAGGCAGCCACATTGTTCAGAGTTCAAACATTTAAAAAATCATGTTGTTGCAATAGCTGAAGAACATGTCGTTTTGGTGAATGTAACCGGGGTGGTCTTGCTGGTAACCCAAGTTTTGTTGTGATTCTTACACTTTTAGATGATAAGTAATGTTCTAAGTGTGGATTTGGAATTGTACAAATATATATCTCATTCTCCGTCTCATACTGTCAGAGGGTAAAACACCAGGAGAAGACAACCCGAAGTTGGGACTAGATCAAGTTGTTCTGTTATTGACATGTGTGGGGAGAAGACGTCTAAACTGCACAGTTATCATTAATTCCAAATAGGTCTATATCTTATTTATTTTATAGGATTACAGGGCACCTAAGTTCTTCTAATTTCTGTAGATGGATGTTTTTTTAAACCATTGTTCT